GAAGGGAAGGGAAGGGAAGGGAAGGGAAGGGAAGGGAAGGGAAGGGAAGGGAAGGGAAGGGAAGGGAGTACTTTTCAGTGTGCATCTGCTTTCCTGATCCCGAGTTTCCCTCCATTCCCTTTGGAACAGGCAGGAGGTCCCATCAGGGACAGCCAACATTTGTTCCATGTCCCCCTTTCTGTCCTGCTCAGCCACATCAAGTCCTTAGCTCTGTCTGGAGAAAGAAATGCTGTGGAGAAAAGGAATCTGCAGGATTTCCTTCCTCTTAATGAGTGGATGAGCATTTAATGATTCTAAGTCAATTTAAACTGTTTTGAAGAACTGGTTGTTCTTCAAAATCTTCACTCCTAATATTCCTTCTTAAGTGAATACCACAGAAAGAACATTACTCTGCCATATCAGAGTGTCCCAATATCAGACTGCATAGGGCCATTGATGATTCCAGCACAACAGGAATGTCTTCATTTGCCTGGAACTGGTGGAATTTTTAAAATACCTTCAGGAACTGGACTAAGTGCATGTCAAATGTGGTGCTAAACAACCTGGAAATATACAGGAACCTTGGAGGTAGCCAAGTCAGTCCAAACTGAAAGGAAACGAGCAGTTTCATTTCCTTAGCATCCACAGATTTAAAAAGAAAAAGCAAGCAAACAAACAAAAAAACCCCAAACACAAAACCCAAACACCACAACTCACAGGTTCCATCCATCTAGGAATTCAAAGTTAAATGGACAAGCAACAGTTCACTTTGATAGTCAAGAGCAGATCTAAAAAAAAAAAAAAAACCATTTAAGTAGCAGCCCTGTGGGTAGCGACATACAGGGGAATGAAAAGTGATGCCACACAGTGATAGTAAAATTTTTCAAAGTTATATTTTCTAATTTAGTTGCTATGCTCTACATATACTACTGGAACTGTATAAAAAGGGATTGCAGTTTTTCATTCACAGATAAAAATGACTAAAATTTACTTTTCTCATTATCCATTGTCTGAAGAAGGCCATGCTTATGAGGCACAGATAAGAAAGCTCATTTAGAGCTGTTTGTAAGAACTGGGATTTGCACTTGTGTGTTAGGTGATAATTATAGCCACATACTTACCCTGCCACACATAATCTATCATTTGATTATTCCTGTCCACCCACCGAATTTCAGTGATGCCAAATGCCTCTCATTACCAGGGCCCCTGGCCCTGGGGGGCTCTGCAAAGCAGGAGACAGCACGATCATAAGTCGCATCAACAACAGGACGTTCTCTGGTAGATCTTGCTCCCAGCCCCTGCATCTCTAATGAATTGCTTTCATTAAGGACCTCAGAAGCCCGAGGCTATTTAGGAATTCGTAGCTGTCAAATGAGGCTTTGTGACAGAGCAGCCTTGGAGGTGGCCCCGGTGAGCAGAGCAGGGAGGGGACACTGAAAGGACGCTGTGGCTGCAGAGCTGTGGGACATCAGCACTTGGCTCCCCTGAGCTCTCTGCAGCTCCCCAGGCCAGCCCTGGCCCCAGCCCACGCTCACCATCTCCTGCCCAGCTCCCAGCGAGGTGCAGGAGGCAGAAAGTTTGTACAGATCAGGCAAGAGAGGAGCTACCCTGGGTGGGAATGAGTGCAGTGCCCAGAGCAGCTACAGGAGCAGCAGGGCAGGGGCTCTGCTCCCTCAGCCTGGGCACGGCCTCGTGGCACCACTGCCCTCCCTGCCCGTGGCCCTGGCCACCAGTGCCAGCGCTGGCTGAGCTCTGCAGCCCAGAGGAGCCTCTGAGGCAGCCCCTGGAGCAGCTCAGGCCATGGCAAGGCCTCCTGGAGCTGCTCTGACCTGCAGGAGCTGCCACAAACACCCCGGGCTGCACATCAGCCTTCGGAGCAAGGCTTGCAAGCCCTACCACCACTACCAGCTTTCCAAAGGCTCTTCATTTATAGGATAAAGCAGAAGAAGTAGAAATAGATCAGAAACCAAGTAGAAAGCACAAACTAGGGCCATACTGAATTCTGGTGATCAGCACTTCTTTTCCCTTGCTTTATCAGCTTTATCCCTCGCCTTGGACCAGCCCCTGTGGCTTCTCCCCAGTGATGTGCATCCTGCCTCCCTGTGTCCTGTGAGTTCTCCCACTTGACCCAACAGGCCCTCACTGATCCCTGATCCTCCCCCTGGTGCTCAGACCCATCCCTTGCTAAGCCAAGGTGTGGCCTTCACCCACTGAAGTACTCAGAGTAACCCAGCCTCGAGCCCAGCTGGGTGTGTGAGATACCAGCCCAGGACAGGGGTGCAAAAACAACAGCACAGGAGAAAGCAGTGATCCTGCATGTTCTAAACAGAGTGCACAGACTGACAGAGATACACTGAAATTGCCTCAGTGTCAAGCAGTGTCCATGACCTCTGCATTTCCTAAAGCACTGCAAGCATCCTCTTTAAAAAAAAAAAAAAAAAAAAAAAATTTTTAAAAAAAAAAAAAAAAAAAAGAGCTTTGAACAGGAAAATATATTGAGAACAGTTCTTCCAAACTTATTTCTTCTAAGCCAAGTCTATTTTAAGTATATCTAGCATGGCCATAACAAATAGCACACAGAGCTGCAGAGCTGAAGTTGTGCTGTCCTTGTGCAGGCAGTACTTTCACATCTGTAAGCACATCTGCACACACAGGCAGAGCACAAACACTGCCAGGGGATGCTTCCCTGAGCACCCCTGGGCTCTCCTCCCACCTGGAGAGATTCTGGAAAAGTGAAAATGCAGCCCAGACACCCTTTCTCAACACAACAAGGAAGATGATGGTTCTTTCTCACCCAATTTTACTGAGCTGCAATTAGGATTAACGATGCCATTTAAGCCAATTTTGAGTTCAGCAGGTGTCAAGAGAGGCCAACACCTTCTGGGCAGCAGAGGAAGGGTCAAGTGCTTGGAACAGAACTGCTGCTAAGGGTTGGATTAGGAGCTATCTGCATATTGCTATGTCATCTTTAAAGCTCCATTTTGTTGCTGCTTTAAACATACCCACAGGTGCCAACTGAAGTCCTAGGAATCTTCTATTCTATCTGGAAAAATACTTGGAAAAACTCAGGGAATAGGAGAAAACCCTGCCAGTCTTTTCCTTTTCTAGGTGGCTCTGTCTTCATGCCTTGAACATATGAATCTGTATTTTCCTGACTCAGAAACCTGGTTTTGGATTGATCTTTCTTAGCTTTATCTGGGTTGCTTCTTAGTAAAATCACTATTTCACCTACAATCTACCCAATCCAGTGGAATAATTTCTCTTTTTTTCTGGTGCAGTGGGGTTCTGTTGCTTTTGTCAAGGATTCAGGTTATGGTTCAGCATTTAACTCACTCCTAGAGAATTCTTTGCTGTCATCTGCAGTGACAAGTGGGTGTAGTTTTCATAATCACAACTAAAAACTGTAGCTCAGAAAATAGATGTGTGACTTCAAGCCTTCACAAGGAACATCTTGACATTTAAATCCAATTACCCTTTCTCCTTTCTGATGAAAATATGATACCAACTAGAGGAAAATTCTCCTAGACAAATATATCATATTCTCCAGCTCCTATAAACTTTTGGCACCACTTTTGGTATTACACATTGCATTCTTTATCAGTCATTTTACAAAAATCAAGGGTTAGAAAATGTGTAGTAATTGATAGGTGATGCCAACAAGTCTGTAAAAAAATTATTTGGAAAGTCTTTGCAGAATGATGATCTTCTCCCCAGTTGAAATCATTAACTGCAAAACTGGAATGAACTCCAAGTTAAGACAGACTACTGCTCTTTGTAATAAATTAAACTGTCAATCATTCAAAGCACCTTTAATAACACCCTGGTTCCCTGAGCTCTTAAATTACAGGCTGAATTTCATTTATCAGTCTGCTCTATGTGAAAAAGGATTAATTAAACTCATTCCAGTAATACAGTAAGGCTCTATTTCTCTTAGTAGTACAGAATAATTGACTGGAAATGAATTGAAAAGTGAGTAAGTAATTGTAGTTATTATTCTGATGTAAATATTAGTTCTCTTTTGACATTTCAAAAGATTTAGCAGAGGCACTTTAGTGATAAGACAGATCATTATCCTGGCTAGGAAGAAGAGCTAGCATAGAGAAAGAGAAATTACAATCATTAGTTTAGACACCTAAAAATACTCCTATTATTTGCTTTTTCATATAGTTATGTACCTTAAAGTACATTTTCATTAACTGTTGATCCTGATTTATTATATTAGGTATACTG